CATTCCTAATTGGTAAAGGAGAGGAGATGAGAATAAACAAACAGCTGTAAGGAAAAACAGTATTTAAGTGCTAAACTAGGTAGTGCTGCATGGTTCAGAGGACGGTGAGAAGGCAGGCTTCATGACAGCTTCAATTTGGGATTTGGGTAGGGCTTTGAGGAACAGGTAGGATTTGCATTGGAGGATGAGAGGAAGGAGGAATTACAGGCAGAGAGAACAGCATAAAGAAGAGCACGGGAGTGGCAAAGCTGGGGTCTGTCTGGGGATTTGTGAAGAGCCGAGGTAGTCTGTGTACAACATGTAGGGAGTGAAAATGGTAGATGGTAAATCTGGAGAGTTTGGTCAATGCCACTGTAGAGGGCCTTAAAGATCAAAGTGGAGTTTGGCCTTAGCCGGGGGAGCATTAAGGAGGCGAGAAAGAAAGATATAATCAGAGGTGCTGTTCAGAAAGATTGTCTTGGGCCGGGCGCGGTGGCTCACGCCTGTAATCCCAGCACTTTGGGAGGCCGAGGCAGGTGGATCACTTGAGGTCAGGTGTTCAAGACCAGCCTGGCCAACATGATGAAACCCTGTCTCTACTAAAAACACAAAAAATTAGCCAGGCATGGTGACAGGCACCTGTAATCCCAGCTACTTGGGAAGCTGAGGCAGGAGAATTGCTTGAACCTGGGAGGTGGAGATTGCAGTGAGCCGAGATCGCACCACTGCACTCCAGCTTAAGCGACAGAGCGAGACTCCATCTCAAAAAAAAAAAAGAAAAAAAAAGATTGTTTTTGTGGCCATGTTTATGAGAGACCATTGGAGAGGGAGATCAGAGATTGAGAAACCACCAGTTTAGCTTTCTCCAGCAGTCTAAGAGAAAAAAAGGCATGAACTAGATGTGGTTATGAAAGAGAACAGATTGAAAGGCATAGCCAAGGTGGAGTACTTGGTGGAGGTGGGGCCTTGATAAGGTTTGGCTATGTCCTCACCCAAATCTCATCTCAAATTGTAATTTGAATTGTAATCTCCACCTATGGAGGGAGGGACCTGGTGGGAGGTGATTGGATCGTGGAGGTGGTTTCCTCCATGCTGTTCTTGTGATAGTGAGCAAGTTCTCACAAGATCTGGTAGTTTTATAAGGGGCTCTTCCCCTTTTGCTCTCTTCTCTCTTGCCTGCGCCATGTAAGACATGCCTACTTCCCCTTCTGCCATGATTGTAAGTTTCCTGAAACCTCCCCAACCATGCAGAACTGTAAATCAGTTAAACCTCTTTTCTGGCCCTTCACAGAGGCTCACGTCTGTAATCCCAGCACTTCGGGAGGCCAAGGTGGGCAGATCATGAGGTCAGGAGAGCAAGACCATCCTGGCTAACATGGTGACACACTGTCTCTACTAAAAATACAAAAAAATTAGCCGGGCGTGGTGATGGGTGCCTGTAGTCCCAGCTACTTGGGAGACTGAGGCAGGAGAATGGCATGAATCTGGGAGGCAGAGCTTGCGGTGAGCTGAGATTGTACCACTGCACTTCAGCCTGGGTGACAGAGCAAGACTCCATCTCAAAAAACAAACAAACAAACAAAGAACCCCCACCTCTTTTCTTTGTAAGTTACCAAGTCTCAGGCAGTTGTTTATAGCAGTGTGAAAACAGACTAATATAGGCCTAATAGCAACTCACCCGCCCTTGCTAAGGGCTTGTCCTGGGTTTTGGAATCTGGAGATGAAGTTTCTTCATGGCTTTCCCTCTGCCTGGAATGTGTATCTGTTCTTGTCCTGACCCTTAGTCATTGCTTTTCTAGCCTCTTCAAGGCCAGTCTTGAGTCCTGCCTTAAAAGAGTCCATACATCCATCAAGAGAAGAATGGATAAACTGATGCATCCGTACAGTGAAATATTACTGTTGGAGAAAATGGGGACCAGGACTGTAAATCTCTTGAGCAGACAAAGCCAGTTAAGTCATGGACACAAACTTGACCTAGATAAGCTAAACTTAACTTGGGCTATTTTTTGTAAATACCTGCATTAACGCAAAATGAAGTTTAAGTTTAATCAGAAGTCACCAACTAACTTATATAATAAGGGACTTTCCAGTGGCGGGGGGAGACCAAATAAGGCAACTACACAATCATAACCAAGCCATTATTTTCTTTGCCTTGCTTCCAAGTTACAAAAGCCTTTTCCTTGCATTCCCTTGGTAGAGCCCTGAACCACTTTTGGTTTGGAGCTGCCCAATTTGTGAATTGCTGTTTGCTGAAATAAACTCTATAAAAATTTAACAGGACTTATCGTTTAACACTATATAGTAATAAAAAGGAATAAACCACTGATACCTGGAACAACTTGGGTAAAACTCAAATAAATCATGCTGAAATAAGCCATATAGGATGTACAAGAGTGTATCCTATATGATTCTATTATATGAAGTTTAGAAATAGGAAAAACTAACCTATAATGAGAAAAAAAAAATAGTGGTTACCTCTGGGGGTTGGGGTTGAGGACTGACTAAGAGGGAGTTTTCTAGGGTGATAGAGATTGGGTTATAGAAAGGTGTATGTCGTTATCAAAACCTGTAGGATGTTTATCCTTAAGATCTGCATTTCATGAGTAAATTTTACCAAAATAGCGAACTACATCTAATAGGCAAGCTGAAGAATGTAGGCATGAAGAATACGGATATCTGTAACTTTAAAATGCATCAAAATATAGGATGGATAGATGGATGGCTCCATATATGATAAAGCAGAGATAGCAAAGTGTTAATGATAGAATCTAGGTGATAGGTAAATGGGTGCTTACTGTACAATTCTGTCAACCTTTCCGTGTGCTTGAATTACTCATTATAAAATGCTGAGTGGTATGGCGTGGTGGGGGAGGGGGAGGAATCCCTAGTCTAAGTTTTGTCAGTTCACCTATCAAAAGTAAAGACAACTGGCAGTGAGAAGTCAACCTGTGGACAGTGATAGTCAACTGGAAGCCTCCTAACTCCTTGTCTCTGGCCTTTTGAAGGGGACCATGACTAGGCACTGAAAAGGAGGCAGTCTAATTCAGGATCCCTTTCCCAAATTACTTTAGCTGGTAGATGCTGAAAAAAATCTCTTTTCCCTCCAGCTTTTCCTGACTTCCAGCATCGTGAAATCTTTTCCTCCTTGCAGACGGAACTCTGTCCCTTTAGTTTTGTCTTGTGTTTGTCTTTGTGTTAGGGCTCCTAGGCAAAGTAGAGACCATCTCATTTTTTCTTCTAATTAGATTTCACATTTGATTACTTACTACAAAGCTATTTGAAATATCACACACCAATGTGTTTTATCCTTTTTTTTTTTTTTAAGAAAAAGTTTAACAGAAATGTCACTATATTTACAGAGTAACTTCCTGGCACACATCAGTTCAGCTGGGGAACAGAAAGGACAGGAGCAGATCATTAGAAATGGCCATTAAAGTAATTCTCCCTGGTAACAAGAACAGCACTTCATGTAGCTTATAGGCCTTCTTTCTTCTGTTTGGCTAGGAGCTTTATCCCACTTTATCCCCGTGGTGGCGGGGGCCTGTAATAATACCTTGGGCTGGGCGCAGTGGTTCATGCCTGTAATTCCAGCACTGTGGGAGGCCGAGGCAGGTGGATCACTTGAGGCCAGGAGTTGATCATTTGAGACCAGCCTGGCCAACATGGTGAAACCTCTTCTCTACTAAAAATACAAAAATGGGCGGAGTGTGGTGGCTCAGGCCTGTAATCCCAGCACTCTGGGAGGTCGAGGTGGGTGGATCACTTGTCAGGAGTTTGAGACCAGCTTGGCCAACATGGCAAAAACCCGTCTCTACTAAAAATACAAAAATTAGCTAGGCGTGATGGTACATGCCTGTAATCCCAACTACTGGGGAGGCTGAGGCAGGAGAATTGCTTGAACCTGGGAGTCGGAAGTTGCAGTGAGCCAAGATGGTGCCACTGCACTGCAGCCTGGGTGACGTGGTGAAAGCTTCTCTCTAATAAAAATACAAAAATTAGCCGGGCATGGTAGCGGGGTCCTGTAATCCCAGTTACTTGGGAGGCTGAGGCAGGAGAATTGCTTGAACCCTGGAGTTGGAGGTTGCTGTGAGCTGAGATTGTACCACTGCATGCCAGCCTGGGCGACAGAGGGAGACTGTCTCAAAAAAAAAAAGAAAAAAAAAAAGGAAAAAAAATTAGCTGGGCTTGGTGGCACACACCTGTAATCCCGGCTACAGGGAGGCTGAGGCAGAATTGCTTGAACCTAGGAGGCAGAGGTTGCAGTGAGTCGAGATTTTGCCATCACTGCATTCCAGGCTGGGTGACAGAATAAGACTGTCTCAAAACCAAAAAGTATTATCTTCTCCTTATAGAGTCTCTAATCCTATTTCCATTAGTCATTTAATCATGCATTTCTTTTCTTTCTCTCTGCTGGAACATCTTTAATTACAAGGTTCAATCTTTCATAGATAACTATTTGTCTGAATCCCTTCAACAGCTGGCCAGCCAACGTTTTCCTCACAGTCATGTTGCCTAATTAGGCCATTTACAGTTTTTAGTTTACTGCCTGTATAAGAAAAGCATCTGCTAAGGGCAATCTATTGAGTTTGTTTACTGTTTCTCTTGGAGTTACTGATATTAAATACTTTTTAATGTATTTGCATTACACATTTAAGAAGGTCTTGCTCTTAAAATAGATCAGCAACAAGGAAATCTTTTTGATACAGGGTTTTGGTCTGTCACCCAGGCTGCTGGAGTGATGACACGATTTCGGTTCACTGCAGCCTCCACCTCCTGGGCTCAAGTGACCCTCCTACCTCAGCCTCCCAAGTAGCTTGGACTCCAGGCAGGCACCACCATACCCAGCTAGTTTTTTGGTATTTTTTGTAGAGACGTGGTTTTGCCATGTTGCCCAGGCTGAGAAAATCTAATCTTTACAACTTTGCCTTCTGAAATCTCATATACTAACTTATAATTTGCTTTCCTGTTTTGCTTTACTGAGATGTCTTAGAGATGGGAATTAAAACTTGTTTTTTTTTCTTCCTTAGAGTGCAAAAGCAGTGCCTTACAAACTTAAGCAGGCTTCAGATTAGCTGAGATGTTTGTTTAAAAGGCAGATTCTGGGACCCATTCCTGATTCAGGAATAGCAGGTACAACATTTTGAGAAACATTGCCTTTAAGGAAGTGGGTATGTCACACACAATTTTAATCTCACAGAAACAAAAAATGTGCTAATCTGAACATTTAAAACATTTGTTTTATTATTTACATGTTTGCCCCAAGTTATCACTTTACAGTGCTGTTCCATAAGGAAATCTGGAAAAAGACTTGATTTTGATTGTTTCCTAACACAACTAATCTTTGTTTTGTGTGATTCTTGGCTAATTCTATGTTTTCCTTTCTCTATTTTTAAGCTGACCATGGAGATATACTGCCATCAGAGTTTCTTTGAAATTTTGTGTGGAGTGTACAAAGAACAACAGGAGGTCAGCACTTATGAACAAGTGTAACTCTTTATTAAGATAGAATTGTTCTTATTCAAGAAATAGATGAAAATGGTTAAGTACAATTAAATGGCTCCAAAAGTCTTACAATGAAAACAACAGTCCTGCCAGTTATTCTTTCCAGAGGCAAATACTTTTCATTCTTAGTTTTTCCTTCTGTTAGTTACCTTCATGGGTTTTTCCAAATTGTTATCTTTTTAGTTTTTCAAGTGAATGCATATATTAATACCTAAAATTTTAAAAAGCTTCAGTTTATAATGCATCCTAACAGTCCCCTGCCCCATCCCTCCTAATTCTCCAGAGCAATGACTTTTAACTCTTCCAGCAATGTCTTCTGTTTTTACCCTCACATAACTACTTAGTCATTTCTTGATTATTTTATACATTATATAGTGATTTCTGGATATGACAGGTGAGGATTTAGCTCTTACACCATTGTTATCTTCACTTCCTCCCATATTGTCCCAAAGTGGTTACCATATTTAGGGGCTAAGCAGTCACCACATCATTATGACTGTGTATGTATTGCTCCTTGTTGAGAAAAACAGCGTATTATGCTCTTCCTATCCTGTACTTCTTTCTGCCCTAAAATTAATGATTGCCTAACCAACCCTTCCCCCTTATTTTTTTACTTTTGCTTTATCTTCAATGAACTTCTTTCCAAATGCCCCAAATTTGGCAATAACTTATTATTTTTAAGAGAAGAGATCTCACTAAGGTAGCCAGGCTTGTCTGCAACTCTTGGGCTCAAGCCATCCTCTTGCTGAGCCTCCTGAGTAGCTGGGACTACAGGCATGGGCCATTCCACCCAGCTAACCTATTAATATTTTTACTGTTTCTTTTTAAGCCAGCTCCATAGCTGGAATATTGCCTGTGTTGGATCCTATTTGCTGGATCTATGTCATTCTCTGGTTTGTGTACTCCTTCACTTTGCTGGAGTATTTTCTCCAATAGCTTCTCAAAAAAGGGTACATGGAGGTAACCCGTGAGTCTTTGCTTGTCTAAAAATGTATTTTACCTTCACCCTTGATTATTTGGGTGAATATAGATTTATCAGTTGAAAATAACTTTCTAGAATTCTGAAGGCATGGTTCCATTGTTTTCAGATTCCTTTTCAAGACAAGGTCTCTTCTGTCACCCAGGCTGGAGTGCAGTGGCACAATTATGACTCACTGCAGCCTTGGACTCATGGGCTCAATTGATCCTTCCATCTCAGCTCCCTGAGTAGACGGGAATACAGGTGTGCACCACAATACCCAGCTAATTTTTGTGTTTTTTGTAGAGATGGGGCTTTGCCATGTTGCCCAAGCTGGTCTCAAGTGATCCGCCTGCCTTGGCCTCCCAAAGTGCTAGGATTACAGGTGTGAGCCACTGGGCCCAGCTAGTTTTTCTTTTATTCTCTCTCTACTTCCTTCATTTCTCAAAGACATCTCCAACTCAGTGGGCCCAAAACCAAAGTCAAACTCCATCAGAATATCCTGCTACTTACAACTTTAAAATATATCTTAAATCACAATTTCTTACTACATGCAACTCTTTGGTTCAAGCAACCATCATCCCTCACTTGAACTTAGAATTGGTTTTCCTGCTTCTGTATTTTTTTAAATTATAGAATATTTCAAATAAACCATGCGTGGTTTTATTCTTTTTACTACATAAAAAGAATGAAGATGTGCCAGGTGTGGTGGCTCATGCCTGTAATCCCAGCACTTTGGGAAGCTGAGGTGGGCGAATCACTTGAGGTCAGGAGTTTGAGACCAGCCTTACCAACATGGTGAAATCTCGTCTGTACTAAAAATAAAAAATAAAAAATTTATCTGGGCATGGTGGCGTGCACTTAGTCCTAGCTACTTGGGAGCCTGAGGCAGGAGAATTGCTTGAATTTGGGAAGGCGGAGGTTGTAGTGAACTGAGATTGCACCACTGCACTCCAGCCTGGGCAACAAGAGTGAAACTGTCTAAAAACAAACAGATAACCCCCCCCCCATATATATATATATGTGAAGCGCTTACATACTTAAACAAGAATTGTTTTAAGTGTTTGGCATTCGCTGTTCCCGTGCATGCCAGCAGCTTCTTACTGCAAACACCTGGGACTTACTATAGAACAGCTGGAGTACATTCCGCCCACACACAGGACAGAGAGCTGACAACCAAGGAGAGAGGGGAATCAATACTCCAGTTTTTTCCCTTCCATTTCCCTGTATCTCAGCAGTATGGAGCCTGTTACCAGTGAGAACCTGCTCGCTGACTTTAAACTGGTTTTCTTACCTTCTCAGTTCAGTGTTTCCATACCTCAACTGACGGTTTCTGGTATGACCTAGCAAATAAACTGCTTTCACTGAAATTTCAGTCTTGGAATGTACTTTGGGTTTCCCAATCTAAGACAGAAACGTACTCATTTTCCCGTCACTGGACTTCCAGGTTGTTTTCAATTTTTCACTGTTACAAACAAGGCTGCAACATTTATCTACAAACCTCTGGATATACACGTAGGAAGCTTTTGGTATTTCCACTAGCGAAACTGCTCAGTTGAAGGGTATGTGGGTCTTCACCTTTAATAAATATTACCGACATCTGAAAAGCCCGACAATGGCAAGGACTGGCAAGAGTGCCACATGCGATGGGTGTGGAAAGGCGGCTCACTGTAGCAGGTGCTGGGGACTCAGTCGGGGTCTTGGAGAAGCACTTATTTATAGCAAGAATGTTTCATAAATGGTATCTGATAGAGTCAAGAGTAGTGGGGAATAAAAACAAGTGGCTTAGAAATAATTATAGATCTAAAGTCAACAAAATACTTTTTTTCTAATGTAAAAATCCATACTATTTTTAGAGGGAGGGGGAACAACTTAAACCAGAAAACACCTTCATATTAATCATTCTTCTCATATACTTCAAATTTGTACTTAATGCCTTTCTCCTCCTGGACATCAGAGAGAACACCTGGGTATCTGTAAAAGAAAAAAATATATAATTAAATTATGTGTCCATTAAAAACACAGCTTCCATCATTCTCAGTTTAAACGCATCAATAATGCATAAAGCAAATAAAGTTTCCCTTTTTTCTTCACAATGGTAAACCACTGTCAAGTTGGATAAATATCATGCAAATATACTACATATGCAAATGATAAGAAAAAAACTGTAAACTATATAGAAAGTTAGAAAACAAAAAGTGTAATTTCTCCTCTTTTGTTTCCTTTGGATTCCTCATTCTCTCAAAAACCAGTTAGCAGTTTCCCTCGTATCTTTCCTATCACCCAGCTCATAGGAAATTTCTTAAGAACTTTTGGCAAGACTTACATTTGGTGTCACATTTCTTGTGTAAGCAAAAGACAAAATACAACCTGAAGCTGTTTAGGGCATAACTGAAATTATGTGCCCTGGACAGTGACAGGTTCTCTGCTTCAGTGTGACTGATGGACACCACACTGCTCTAAATTCCACAATGTGTGGCAGATTGTAATTCCTTTATTAGGATCTGCCATTCCTGTTCCCTAACTCTCACTTAAGCCTGTGTTCCCTCCAGCTTCCCATCCAAAACCCAGCTTCTCCACTGAGGAATCTTCTGACCATTCCAGCCTCCAGTGAACCCCAATCTTTGGTTACTTCTTCAGTACTATGCAGGCTGCACCCCAGTATGCTCCAGGTAGTCAGGAACACCTGCTTGAATCAGACTGTGCTTCATTCTGGTTCTGCTGTGTGACATGCTTCTGAGCCTGGCTGTCAAAAGTCTTCTTCCTTGTAAAAAAATTTAGCATTGTTGGCCAGGCGCAGTGGCTCATGCCTGTAATCCCAGCATTTTGGAAGGCCAAAGTGAGTGGATCACTTGAGGTCAGGAGTTCAAGACCAGCCTGGCCAACATGGTGAAACCCTGTCTCTAATAAAAATACAAAAATTACCTGGGCATGGTGGCGGGTGCCTGTAATCCCAGCTACTCAGGAGGCTATGGCAGGAGAATTGCTTGAACCTGGGAGGTGGAGGTTGCAGTGAGCCAAGATGGTGCCACTGCGCTCCAGCTTCCATGACAGAGCAAAACTCCGCCCCCACCCCCAAAAACCAAAAAAGAATGTAGCATTGTGCCTAACACATTAAGTGTTCTATAAATGGTGCCTACTAGTATTATTGGTTTGTTTCATTTCTCTATTTTTAAAACTCATTGTAGGCAGGGAAAACACAGTAAACGTTTAAGTCTCGTGATATTCAATACGTTGCTGAGTGATAACAGACATTAACCTTTGTTGACTAATTAGAGATTATGCAATTTTGGTAAAAAAAATTAGGGGTACAAAGTAACAAAATTACAGGGAAAAAGATGCTTTCTGGAATAATTTATATTTCAGAGGAAGAAGCAATGTTTCTATTAACCATTTTCTATTATAATTTTAGTCTCTCTGAAATGAGTCATAAAAAGTAACATCTACATACATTTTTGGTGCAAAATTCTCAAGTGTCAAGACTGTCAGTTCATAAGACAAAAGCGACATATCAAGAAGTTTCTGGGCCGGGGGCGGTGGCTCACACCTGTAATCCCAGCACTCTGGGAAGCTGAGGACGAGGCGGGTGGATCATCTGAGGTCAGGAGTTCGAGACAAGCCTGGCCAACACGGTGAAACCCGTCTCTACTAAAAATACAAAAATTAGCCGGGCATGGTGGCAGGCACCTGTAATCCCAGCTACTTGGGAGGCTGAGGCAGGAGAATCGCTTGAACCTGGGAGGAGGTTGCAGTGAGCCAAGATCGTGCCACTGCACTCCAGCCTTGGCAACAAAGCAAGACTGTATCTCAAAAACAAAAAATAGACCGAAAAACCAAAACACAATTAAAATCAAGACTCTAAAGGAAGCACAGGCTCAGGAGCAAAGGGGCAGCTGAGTAATGTGGACAAGTATGCCAGCATCCTGACAGGAAGTTGTAGGGTCAGAAGAAGAAACATCAGCCTATCCAAAACCTACTTCAAGGGGCATCTGTCCCAGCTCTGGAGATGACAAGGGGCATCTGTCCCAGCTCTGGAGCCAACTACTGCCTCCACAGGCCTCTTTTAATCTCTATTCTCTTTGACTACGTGGTCACACACAAGATTGTTAACTAGAAGTAAAAGCCTGTTGGGGGCTCATTAAGTAGAAAATTGCCGATATAAAATATCTGGGCCTGCTGGTTTGGTTGGGGTCTAGTGTGAAATAGTCTGAGATAGATTTCTTCCAGGTAAGATGAATGAGAGCAGAGCCCTAGAGGACAGGCTGGCACAGTGCTGTTGAAAAATCGACTGCCCAAACAATGACCTACAGGGATGAAGGCAGATACAAAGTAAATCCACCTTACTTTATTAATATGACCTTCTGCTCTGGCTTCCATCACTTGTGGCTCCTCCTACATTCTAATTTTATTCTCTTCTTGCCTCACAAGTTCTCTCTTTCATCGGTATTTCACTATACTAGTGTGTCTTATTTTTTAAATCGGGAAGAATAGTGTTAATAGAAGACATCATATTTGAACAGAAACCTATATAACCACAAGAGGTCAACTGATAGAGACAACGGGGCTTAAACTAAGTGAGTAGCTGTGGGGAAAGGGATAGGGGAGGTGGAGAATGACCAAAGTTTATATTTGGACAGTAGAAAGCAAATCCAAGTTCCCCAGCGCACGGAGATCTGGAGAGAAAGCCGCTCCAGAATTGAGCAATGTTAGTTTTCCAGGGACAAGGTATATTCACTTTATCTTCACAGGTTTCCTTTTTCTCCAGAGAATGAAGGATTGACTTATTCTAGGTCTCCCGTTAGAGAATTCCCTCCATTCCATTAAAGAGGCTGTTACGATGTTATGTTAGTAGATGCCTGAAAGTACAAATGACCATCAAATGTTGCAATGGAAGAGTTTTTTGCTTTCTCCCATAGCCTTGTTTAGAATCTCCACTTTGGAGCAATTTCCTTATTCCTATCTCAATCTATTCACTATTAA